GGTACGTCTAAGTAGGCCCTATGTGGACACGTCTAAATGGGCAGCCCCTACTGTGGCATGCCAAACTAGGCCCTATTCAGGCACTGTGTTAATTGTATTAAATTACATAGTGTGTGTGTTAAATTACAATTGTGTTAAATTTCACAGTGTGCAACTGTGTCAAATTACATAGTCATCAAAAGTATATTCAGATTTATCCATGATCCAGACAACTCGCTCTCGTATCATATCGGCTCGCCTTTTATACTAATACGGGACGATTTTTACTTACGAGAAAGACTAACGCGCGGTCGCCACGCGGCAGTATGTGGTACTAGTGCTATCTATTCAGGAAAGAATCGGGACCTTGTTAGGGGTATTTACGTCAGTGCCTACTCAGGGCCCGTTCAGGAAATTCCACTAAGAATTTACCTTAATAGGACCTATCTAGGCCCAACGATGGCAAGCTTATTTTAGAGCATGCCTATCTGGGCCCTACATTGCCTGGCCTATTTTAGGGCATGCCTGTCTAGGCCCTTTACGAACCTCGGGCACGCTCTGACAAAATGCTAAAAATCTCGCTTGTGCGATACGACACGCTTCAGTCGTGTTACTTGCAGTTGTCAAACCATGCGAAACTTTAGAGACAGTAAATGGCACGCGCGAAGCGCGCGCTTGTGTTGTCTAGTGTGAAAAAAAACGTACACTGCAGTAGCAATGTGCTATAAAACTTTAGTATAAATTCTACAACTAAAAATAAGAATAGTGATTGTTTTATCAGTATCTTTCTTTTAACACTTGCTAAATAAACATTTTCCGAAGCGTGTCTAAATACGGACGCAAATTGTCGAAATTAGATCGATTGAATCGACGCACTTAAAGGAAAACAAACAATTGCAATTTTTGTGACGACAGTGGGTTATGCGCTAGAGACTGTTTAAAGTTTTGCAACAAAAATAAAATCTTTTATCATTTGTTTTATGTACCAGAAAGGTACGTTGTAGGTATATTAAAACATTGAATTATTTAAATCCTTACCTGTTTGTACAATAGGTAAAAAAATTGATCTCTTAGTATGCTTAATGGCATGTTGTGTCTTTCATACCGATCTAATTGGATGCTTAAATAAATAACAAATTAGAAGTAAAACTAAATATTTCTTTTATCAAAAGGCGTTTTTTTTTTAATTTAAAAACATGTATGTATATATTACTGGAGGAAACGCGTGCGTGTTTCCTGTGAACACCTCGTACGCTGTAAAATATTGTGCGATCTGTACTTGGCAACGACGACGCCGACATATGCACTATTGCACGAATTCATTGTACGTCTGCGAGACATTGAGAAGCGAGGTCTGCCAAATGCCGTCTCTTCTCGCTAACAGCGTACAGGAATTTTCCCCTGGCTATTTTAAATCCCAAGTGGATAAAGTAAATGACTGAACATTTCGAAAGTTAAGCGTC